CCTTAAGCAAGTTTAGTAAATTTTTATGTGTTTTCAAGATATGCTACAACTTTTAGCACATCAAATAGATAGCTGTTACTTGTACAACTTCAGTGAAGGGTGTTTTTAAATTTATTAAAACAGTAATGAAGAAGAATTTGTAGTTTATCTTTAGTAATTAGATATTTTGTATTATTCAGCAACTAACCTACCTTAGATTTATAAATACTGATTTTATATGTGCATTATTCTTTTGCATGAACAGAAAATGTTTTGTTCATTTGACTGTTACTGTGATGAGTTTAAATTCTTGCTAAAATCATGTTAATTCCTTAGCATGGAAACACAAACTTCATGATAAAGAAGAACAAAATGATAGTTCTGCAAAGTTAGAGGAAGTACACACAACCAATCCAATTTTAGTATATTTAATTTCTCACTTTTTCCAACTTTTAATAAAAATTATTAATACCATTATCTAATAGATTGACTTTAATATTGTTCAGTTTCTGAAGTATTTATATACTATAATTTTATAAGGCCACTAGAACCAAAACTTCAAAGATATTTGTTTATCCCTAAGCATTAAAAAGCAAATGATTAGAACAATTGTTTATAGTTTTCCTCATTGATTGACTGTAACAAATATTTAGGATCACAAATACATGCTTTCAAAAATAAATACCTGATGTGGTTAGGAAATTCTGTTAATTGCAGTATGTTGATAAAAGATTTAATACAGATATACAGAGTGAAAGAAAATAAATATAGTGAAATGAGTTAATAGCAGAGTGGAAAAAGAAGAATAAACCCACTTAAAAAAACATTTATATTTAGAGATTGAGGGAATAATTAAAATGTTGATATTTCAGAACATATAACCTCTCATTCAAATTAAAATATATAGTTATAATGCATACAGTGTGAGGGAAATATCAAGCAATTTCATTATAATTTCTAAATTTTGTGTCAGTTTTTGTTAAAAATGGAATACAACTAAAATTAGAATGAAACTGAGATGAAAACTGGTCTTGCAACAAAATAAAATAAAAATTATAGTTTTTTGCAGAAATTTATTTTAATGGCAATCAAACAGTAATCAAATTAGTTGGTTGCTAATAGCATGCAGCAACTTTATAAATTTGAAAGTGTACTTATTTTCTATTGAATGGATGTTCCTAAGTATTAAATATATTCTCCTCAATATTGCTTTCATAAAATTAATTAAAAAAAAACCTTTTAGTCACAGATCTTAAAAGATAAATTACATGTATTCCTGATTACAAGTTACAGATTACTGAGATAGAGCTTATTCATTTTGTTTTTTACTTTAAAAAATTATGTGCTTGAGCATCATTTCAAGTTGGCAGAAATCCTATGGAACATTTATCTTGCCCCGGGTAACAATGTTCAGCTGTTGCGGCGCTGAAAATCATGTCAGGTATCAGTCGCACACACATTTAGAACACTCACCTTAGAAAATGGCATGTAAAGCCAGTGACCTTTGCTGTGATATCCAGCTAGCATTGAACCTGTCCTTACTTTATCTGAAAAAAAAAAAAAAAAAAAAAAAACTTTTGGCAACATCATTGTTTAACAATTATTAATAAATAAAATCATGTGTAAATTTCCTCATGATTCATAGCCATACCAAAGTTGCTAAGAAAAAGATGAGCCTGTTATTTAAAAGAAAAAAAAAAGCTTAGCAGTTTTATTCTAGTGTCATCCACAGAAGATTTCATTCACTTTTCACACTCACTGTTGTGAGTGAAAGCAGCCTGTGGTGACTGAGATTTCACTTGGGGGGATCAGGTTGTCTTGATGGAAGGCTTTGAGTCACTCTGTAAATGCCAAGAGGACATTTTATAGATCACTAAAAATTGCCATGTTTCAAAAACTTTCCAGGCTAAAAAACTGGTTAAAGTTTCCAAGCAAGCCAGACTGGGTTAGAATCCCTGGTACACACTGATCTGCACTTAACCCACAGGAGCATGGTCGTGAGGCTGATTGCAGAAAACTGGTGTTATTTATTTATTTTTCTTAAAGATTTATATATTTATTTATATAAGCCCTGGGTACAATCAGAAGCGCAGGAGGGTGAGAGAATTCACCAGAGCCAGAGCGGGGAACAGAACAGGCAGACTGCTGAAGTACACTGCTGAGGGGAGCAGTGGGCACGGCAGGAGAGGTCTGCATGCTGTGTGGGACCCTCACCTAGTGGCCGGGGATTGAACTGGTGCTGCAGAGGCTGTGGGCAGCTTCGCAGCTGAGCTCTCAACCACTGCGCCACCGGGGATGCCCTAAACTGGTGTTAATTCTATGAATTCTCACTTGGCATCATAGCTAAGCATTCAGCTGTTACTTTCCTTCTTATTTTCACTTTTTTATGTTTTTATTGAATTTTAGTATATACTTTTATATTCTAGTGGGTGCTGGAGATGTGTTGGTAGCCTATGAGTTTTGCTTCCCTAGCAATCTAGAGTTTGTAATGCAGGAAGCCCCAACTTAATGAGGTTGATAGTTTCTTGCAATAGGTAATTTTAAGAGACATGACACAAGGAGACTGAGTCCTTAGATAACAACATTTTGTTCAGTTTTGGCCCAGATTTTTGTTTCTTGTCAACTTGGTTAACTAAGAAATAATCCGACTGTAATATCAGCAAGAAGGTGTTTATTGGAGAATAGGCATCGTATGGCCCAGATCCAGTATCAAGGGCTGTCTGAATCTGTGTTCCACCAAGTAAGGGCATGGGGGAAGTTTTAAATGATAAAGCAGGGGCAGGTTCTGAGGTTAGGTCTTTGTAACTTTTGGACTGGTTAATGAGCAACTTCAGGTAGAAAGAGGCAGTGTGGACTCCTTTGTTACTACAATCAGCAGATGGTCTGGTCTCCCTGTGTCTTTCCTAATTGTGGGTAGGAGAGAACTCTAGTTGCTGTTCCTTCATAGTCATGGATGAGGAGAAGAGAGAGAGCTGAGTCAAGCTGTTGATTCAGCTGCTCTCTTCGTAATTCTCAGCATGGCAGTGAGAGACAAGGTGGATTCTATTTAATACAAAGTAAGTTCTACAAAGTTATAATGAAACAGTGTTGAAGGAAATGATGTTATTCCAGGATCTGCCTTTTTTCTGTTGTCAGAGCTGCAGCAGCCTTTAAAAAGCTGTTGCCTTTGATTGCAGGGTAGGTGCATTCTTTGTTCCAGATCCTATAACAGAATATTTTAGACTGTGCAGCTTATGAACAATAGAAATTTATTTCTGCTCTAGAGACTGGGCAATCCATGATCAAGGTACTGGCAGTTGCTGTGTCTGTTAATAGTACACTTGCTAGTTCACAGACTGTAGAAGGGGACCAGGGTTTTCTGAGGTCTACTTTATGAGGACACTAAACCCGTTCATGAGGGAGCCACCCTCTCAACCTGATCACCATCATTACAAGGAGAACAGGTTTTAATATATGAGTGTTAGGGAGCACACTAACATCATGTCTGTAACATGCACCTTGCTCTTTCCCACTAAAGCCTGAAACACAACACAAATCAGTCCTAGAACAGAATCAGAATCCATTTGTGCTCTCCAGGAAAGTGATCTTTGCTTTTGTTTATTTTTAGGACACGCCACACATTGACGACAGTTTCAATTCATTAGCAGCTCTCCCAGCAGCTCTGTTCTTTCTTATTTCATTTTATTCTACTGTTGTTTCACCTCTTTTTATAAAATGCTCATTGGTTTGATTACTGGTTATTTTGTGGTCTTTTAAAACTTAATTAAGAATAACTGAGATTGGACATAGAAAATAATATTGTTGATATATTTTATCATTAATTGTTTATTGATACTATCCAGCATCCTTACTTAGGTTAATTGGGAAATGTAATTTCAGTATATCCAAGGTGGTCAGCTACTGTCAAAGGCTGTCATTTTGAAATACAATTCTTAATTGCTGATATCTAAACCTTCCTTAATTTGAGAATAAATCATTCTCCGTTCTTTATGGGGAAACACTGATTTGGAAGCAACAGTTGTGTAAGAAAAGAAAATATCCTGCAGTAATGTCTTTGAAGAACTACAAAATATGGTGAGGAAGGTGATGGCACAATCACTTATTTTCTTTTTTAAGATTTATTTTTATTTATTTATGCATACAAGACCTGGGGTACAGGCCAGAGGTGCAGGGGGTGATAGGATTCACCAGAGACAGAGTGGAGAGCAGTACAGGCAGATCTACTGAAATACACTGCTGAGGGGAGCAGCGGGTGAGGCAGAAGAGGTCTGCTGCTCCATGTGGGTAGCTCCCTGGCCAGCCGGGAATCGAACTTGTGCTGCAGTGGCTGTGGATAGCTTTACAGAACTGAGACTTTAACCCCATAACCACTGGGGAGGCCCCCCACAATCATTTATTTTCATCAGTTACTACTGTGCATGACTTTTCCACTGCTTAACAAAGCATCAAAATATAGGGGTAGTTTAATAATGAAATTATTATTGAACCACTGATTTCCTTTCCTTTCTTTTTAATTTGAACAGGCTAAGAGGTTTGAGGGTCTTCAGGATTTCCTCCAGGAATGTAGCCTCTGTTTTTAGTAACTAATATATGAGCTACTCACTTTCATTCTGAAAAAGATAAAAGAAAAACTGTACAACTACCATATATGTTGTATATGTTGATAAAAGTATTTAATATCAATAAGGAACACATAAGTGAAAATTATTTTCTCAGTGATACTTTTCTTTCTATCATTAGTGTGTTGTGATCTATGAAATAAAGTAAGAAACTACCATACATGCTCCTTGTTTTCAAATCTATACTTTTAAAAAGTGTTTGACTCTATTTAATGCATCTCTGTGTAGCTTCTAAGTTGTATGTATGCCCACTATTGACCAGCCATTGTCCTTGTAGAGCTAAATTGGCCTCCTATTTAGTCTCTTGGATTAGTTTCTTCATTTAATGTATGGAGCAGATGGACAAAGAGTTTTAACATGAATACTATAGCCTGTCATCCTTTACCTCTGTTTTTGTTACAGAAACCCTTGAAACACTCATCAGACAAGCAGAAAATTATACCAGCATACTTTTTTGCAACACCTATAGAAACATGGCCTTAGAGGCAGCTGCTTCAGTGCAGGAGTTCTTCACCGACGTAGGTCTCTATTTATTTGGTGCAGATGTTAATCCTGAAGAATTTGTCAACAGATTCTTCGATAGTCTTTTCCCTCTAGTCTACAATCATCTCATTAACCCTGGTGTGACTGACAGTTCCTTGGAATACTCAGAATGCATCCGCAAGGCCCGCCGGGACATCAGTCCATTCGGGAATATTCCCAAGAGGGTCATGGGCCAGATGGGCCGATCATTGCTGCCCAGCCGTACGTTCTTGCAGGCCCTGAATCTGGGCATCGAAGTCATCAACACCACGGACCACCTGCACTTCTCCAGAGAGTGCAGCCGGGCCCTCCTGCGGGTACGGTTCTGCCCTCACTGCCAGGGCCTGGCGCTCAGCAAGCCTTGCACGGGCTACTGCCTTAATGTCATGAGAGGCTGCTTGGCCCACATGGCAGAGCTTAATCCACACTGGCACGCGTACATACGGTCTTTGGAAGAGCTGTCGGATGCCATGCATGGAACATATGACATTGAACACGTGCTCCTCAACTTCCACCTGCTTGTCAATGACGCTGTGATGCAGGCTCACCTCGGGGGACAGAAGTTATTGGAACAGGTAAGCAGCCGCCCTCCCTTTCCTGTCTGACTTCTTAGAACCCAAGGGTTATCCACATATATAAAGTGTGTTGATTGTCAGCACATTGTTACGTATTTTTAAATTATGGTAGTTGAACAAGTTGATATTGTGGAAATCGTAGGGAAATGTATAGGGTGTGTTACTCAATTTAAGATATATTTTGTATCAAAAATTTGCTTAACAAAAATGCTGTTTTTTTTTTCCTTAAAGTAGCAACGAATGGCAAAAATTATTCTTAGACTTTGTGAAAAATACACTGTTTCCAGAGGAAATGAGGATAAGGAAGTGGAAATAGTGGAGGGAAGGGATAGGAAAGCCTCAGGTTTAAAACCAGGATCAGTTACATTTGAATCTGCAATCTGCTGGTATTTCCCAAATTCTCTCTCTCTTTCTCTCTCTCTCCCTTTTCCTCCTCTCCTTCGCCCCCACAGACCCTCTCTCCAAGATCTAGTTTCTTACCAACTTTCAAATATGCAGCGCAGTGTATAAACTATAGTCACCACGCTGTTCATTATGTCCCCATGATTTCTTTATTTTAGTAAGTGGAAGCTTGTGCCTTTTGACTTCCCTGTACCTATTTTAACACCTTCTATTCCTCTTAGGCTGTTGGAGTTCTGCTTCCTCATTTTTATAAAGCGACAGTAGCAATACATAACTTTTGGAGTATTCTTTTTTGGAAGAAAGGCAATATGTATGCAAACTACAGGATACGGTGCCTGATACTCAAAAAAGTGGGTAGCTATTGTTAGTGTTTCAAAGGTATTTAGCTTTAAAATTGATACTGGCAGTTATGTAGTAATTAAATGAAGGTTTGATTAGGTTTTAGTGTTCAGAGACTCCAGAACTTGGTCTGATGAATTTTCAAGTCGTGCTATATGCAGCATCATGTTTTATTTCAAGAAAACTCTTCAAAATGTTTTTGAAGCAAATTCATAGAATCAAAGGACATAAGAGTTGAGTTGTAAAGAAGTTCTCCTTCCTTCTCTAGAGCCATTTTCTTGTGGACAAAATTCACAAGCTTTCTTAATAAAATTTTTCATATTCTGTATATTGAAGTGATATGTGCTTCTATTTATCCTAAATCTTTTCATCAGTGATGAAATTTTGCTCCTTAGTGTCAAGATCACATCCCTACATCCTGGTATTTATTTACTGAATTAGGAAACATTGTCGTCATGAACTTTATAAGGTCCTTTAATTCATTTCTGATAGAAATTAGATCTGAAAATGTTTTTGTTTAACTGTTCTTAACTCTCTGGGTCTTTGCTGGCTTGTGTGAGCCAATATGGTGCCTTTCTTATTTGCTTGTTTTTTTTTTTTTAATAAATTTTATTTTCATATTCCCCATACAATTGCAACCCCCTTATTTTGACCCCAATCCCTCCCCTCCCTGGCCCCACCCCCATAGAGTGTCTCTGGTTCATAGTTTTTTGTTGATTTTGATTTTCACTTTCTTATAGTTATTCATTTTCCTGGTCCCTTATTTAAGTTTTCTAGATTCCTGCTATGAGTGAGACCATCCGGTATTTTTCTTTTTCTTTCTGGCTTATTTTGCTGAGCATGATCCCTTCCAGCTCCATCCATGTTGCTGCTTGTTTTTAAAACAAGCTAGAAAAGGCACCCCTCTTTAGGCAGAGCCACAACTGTGCTATGTCTTGGTGGGTAGAGTGTGAACTGACTTTCAACGACTACACCCTGCCTGGGGCAGCTGGGTGTCCTTTTACAGTGAACAATTTCCAGTCATATGCGGTGGTCCTGATCTTCTTGCCCTCTGCATTCTCAATGTGGACATCAGACATGCACCAGAACATTTGAAAGGGTTACCATAATCCAACTCAAGCTAAAGAATAAATGAATTTGAAAGTGTCAAGCATTTTCAGTGCTGAGGAAGCAGCATTTATATCTAGGGCACAAAATGTCAACATTATGATATTGAATATCTCCAAAAGGGAAAAACGGCACAAGAAATCTGAAACCAAGTACAGATTTGATGATTCATTTGGATCATGCCATTTATTGCTCAGGGCCAGAGTCTTTAAAATGGATAAGTGAATTGATTTTTACTATCCTTTTTATTATATATTTTGAACACATGAAGGGCCTTTTTGTATCTTTAAAATCTATCTTGTAGAACATTATTTTTCCTACTTTAAAGATTAAAATGACACAAGCTTGACAGATTTGTGGTTATATAGGCGTGTTTTCAAATCTTGAGCTTGCTGCTCACTAGTTATCATGGCCTGAATGAACTACGTAGATTCCTTGACTGTTTCATCTGGGTGAAGAAGGGACTAGTATTGAAGTAGAATAATTCTGGTAAGTGTTTGACAGCAGGAGGCTCTTAGTTCCTGAGAACTGTGCTGTTTCCTTATTCCTTCTCTGAGGCCACACCTGAATAAACCTTGGTAGAGCAGGTGACTTTAGTATCTCAAAGGCTTAGAATCATCATACTGTTTATCTTTTACAACTAGGTTTAAAAAAAGCCAAAACTTGTATATATGAAACTCCTTGGTGAATTTTCAAAGAACACTTTCACATTTTAAGGAAATAATCTGATTTCATACATAATTAATCGCCCTATGACTGTCTTGAGAAACATCAATTACTAATAAATTGTTGATTCTTTTATAAATAAAACAACTGAGATTCTCTTTTTGACTTATGGCAACAGAAGAAGGAGAAACTGACTTTAAATTCCTTGGAAATTGACTCATTAATATTTATTTCTGCCAACTTCAAAGTGATTTATAAGCTGTTTATCAAGCTTTGATAACCAGCTCACACATCAATGAATTTAACAAATTCAAGATAGATTACTGGAGAGCCAACAAATAATGATTTTCTCACATTTCCAAAGCAATCTCTAAGATCTAGTAGTTCCAGGTCTAGTCCTCAGTAAATACATATTTTCACTTTCAGAAACTCATAGGAGCACTTGATAGATCATATTTCTAGTGAGTGAATTTCACCTGGAAAAATGTTTCCCAAATTCCTGAATATCATATCTATTATTCAGTAAGTTATTAAAGAAACAAAATCTAATTTACAAGAGAATATTTAATTGTCTAATTATACTGGGAATTGAGACTAAACCTACCTCAATAAAACAGTAACAGATTCAGCAAAGTATAGAAATTAAAAGCACAGGTTCTACTCTCAGACTGTATTTCACATTTGTCTTTACTACTTACAAGCTCTGAGTTTGGATATTTGATTGTTTAATCTCTCTTTATTTCACTGTCCTCTTTGGAAAAATGGGGAAATAACAATACCTACAACTTTTTAATGAGAATAAAATGAGCTTTCACAATTAGATTAGTGTCTTTTACATGGAAGTATTTAAATCCTAATTATTAACACATTATATTACTTATAAATACTTCATTGATTTCTTTGGTGGTTTAAATGCTCCCAAAGTAAACATCCCTTTCCTAATGTAGAGTTAAAAAATACACATCTAGTTATTCAAAGTAAGCAAATAATTGTAAAGATTTTTCTTGAATGGGGAAAAATTGGAGTTTCCAGAAAACATTGTAGCAGTCTATAATGTGTTTAATATTAATGAATTTTAATTGATGGAAATGAAGGAATGATTTATTAGGAAATCATTTATTCATAATAGAAATTAAAACTTGATCTATTTTTAAATGCTGAGTGCTAATAATTGCATTTAGCATAGTATTTTGATGTAACTTAATATTTTACCCAAAGCAATAAGAATGCAGGATCATAGTTAAGTTTCAATGTTTAAATGGAACAAATGTTATCAAGAAACTCACATGAATGTTAATTATATACAATTTTAGAAACAAAAAAGGTTTTTCAGCTTTATTAGGATATAAATGACAAAAACCTCATTTATTTATTTAGTGGAATTCAGCAGTGAAACCATCTGATCCTGGAATTTTCCTTGTTGATGGTTTTTTATTGTTGTTACTAGTTCAATCTCCTTACTCATTATTGGTCTTCTCAGATTTTATTTATTTTCATGATTCAATTTTGTCATCAGTTCTATGTTTACAGGAAATTATTTTACATTTATTCTAGGTTATCCAATTTGTTGGTATACATTTGTTCCTAATGGTCTCAAAATCCTTTGTATTTCTGTGATGTCAGTTGTAGTGTATCTTCTTTCATTTATATTTTTGAGGTTTTTCTTTTAAGTCTATCTAAAGATTTGTTGTTTTATTGTTGTCTTTAAAAAAAACCAGCTCTTACTTTCGTTGATATTTTCCTTTTTTTATGGTCTCTACTTGATTTATTTCTGCTCTGACTTTTGTTATTTCCATCCTCTGATACCTTAGTTTGTTCTTTTTCTAGTTCCTTGACATATAAAGTTAGGTTGTTTACTTGGGATATTTTTCCCCCTTACATAGGTGTTTGTTACTATAAACTTCCTTCCAAGAGCTGTGTTTGCTGCATTGGGGGTGCCTTTTAATTGTATGCCATTGTGCTGGGTGGGGGTGATGGTGTATGTCTCAACCTTTCCTACCCATTCAATGTAAGAACTTTCTCATTCACTTGATGTGTGGGAGTTGCTCAGCTAGTTTCTGAATTTCTTTCTGAGGAAATTGCTCCACGTGTATTTTCAGTGCATCTGTGAAAGGAATTTCAGGAGTATCTTATGCAACCATCTTGTGATCAAAATCATAATTACCGACAATAAAACTCTGCAATGTATTTTTTAAATAGATAATGAGTTTTTCCACATCTCTTACCTATGACCTATTAGTGGAGATTCAGCTGGTTGCATCCACATTAATTTAGAATAGTTGTGTACTTCAATTTTAATACCTATCAAAATTTAATTTAAGGTATATTGTACACACTAATGCACTCTAATTAAACTGTTGTTGAGATAACTAATATCTCATCAAATCTTTTATACACATTAAATTTACCTAACTGTAGAATGAAAGCAATGTTAATTAATTATGTTTTTGGTATTCCATAATACCTTTTTATGCAAGCTGAAAAGA